TGTAGACGTGCATGTCCGGAGCTCGGCAGGCATGCGTGGCGCGTATACTCGACGCATCAAGTCGCGAAAACTGGCTCTATTTCGCCGGGATGCGTTCCGCGACGACAAAGTCTGGCCAATAAACATTAAAACCTGTCAAAGACAAGAGAAAGAAATACTGACCCTCCACCACGGACAACTAGCCGGATAAAGCCCATAACACGGCATATGTCCCCCACAACCCTGTACTCACCTTGCATTCTCAAAGCTTGCGTCATCGCCTCTGTGTGTGGTATACTGGGCTGAAAATTAGCTGCCACCGGGAGTTTGCAGCTGATGTACCGAGAGAAAAATGCCACCTCCATATTCATTCAATCGTTGATGATTCCATCGTGGACTCTCGTGCCATTGCAATGTCAAACAGCACATTTGGTTCTTCTACAATTCGCAGCGGGCACAGCAATACGCTGCACCGACAGTGTTGATCATGTTTGTGTTTGTGGTGTTATTTCGAACTTGACCTCGGTTCTCAACATGGAAATCTGAAATCGCAAGAGAATAATCTCCGAACTAGAATCTGCCTCATTTGAATGAGCATACAAGGACCAGAGAGGGCTTCGCGGCGTGTACCGCTTCGCGGTCGCCGCTACGCTTGTAGGCTGTGTGGCGATGCCAAGTGTGTGCGGGTTGAGTTTTGAGACGAGAGGAAACAAGTGTAAGTGAAAAGTTGTGCTCATTGTTCGAATAGCGGCGACGCACAATGAAGTGGCTAGTATGCGACGGCCGGAGGACATAGAGTAAAACATGCAGATGTGGCAAGAAACAACGCCGCAGGAAGAACAACGTGTAGTTAGCTGTAGAGAGACCATGCACCGAAATTTACGTGTATGTGCCTCAACACTAACGAAAAACGTGCCGTCCACGTTTGAGGAGAAACATCGTGTGCATCATCCCAGCACGTATTGTACCAGAGCATGTATGTATGTATAGTTCGAACTGGTAATTTATGTGTGTGCCGTATCACACCGCTTTATATGGCTGGAGAATGTTGCAAACAAACTTGCACACTTTTTCTGCAACTTTGCTCGGGAACTTTGTCAGTAACACTTTTGGTGCACGCTCATTATGGGACCAAGAAAGTTTTGTGCACGGGACTGGCGGAATACGGATACGTGGTCTTTTTTTTTTTTACAACGGCGAGAAGAAGGCACACGCCTTTCATATCGCACCGCGAAAAAAACGGTCAGAGCGTGCGTGAGAGGGAAGTTGCAACCTTTATTCTCCACACTCACGATACTCCAAGGCATCTAACCTGGTACCAGAAATATGCTGGGTAGAGCTAGCTCCCTCAGGGTGGCATTGCTGTTGCTGTTGCCTCCTTCTTCAAAAAGGTATCGCTGGAAAATCAAACCATGAGTACACAATCCCTGCGAACTTGAACCAACCACTCTCTGACGTGGATATTTTAGGGTCAATCAAAACGTTATTCCCGACGCGCACGATACCCCACGGCACCAAACCTTGGGCATGAAAGATGGAGCAGAGAGCTACCTCCCGCCGAGTGGCCTTGCTATTGCTGTTGCTTCCTCCTTCGGAAAGTTATCGGTGGATGACCAAACCCGTGGCGGTCAAAAACACCGAACTTGCACTAACCGCTAGCGGTCGTTGACGGTTGTGCACAGCACAAACCTTTTTTCCCGGGGCATTCGGCACCTCACGGCCCCAAACCTTGGCATTGCCCAACAGCCCATGGCATCAGCTCTTCCCAGATACCATTCATGAGGTAACTCGTCGTCGAGATATCGGTGATCACACCCTTCCCACAATCGAAGCTGGAGAGGGTCTACGTGTGTGGTAGCAGCTTGACATGGATTGGCGGAAGTTGCGCCGTGCAAATTTTCTTCGACACCCTTCGTCGCGAAAAAGATGCAGAACTTTTCGTCCAGATTGCAACTTTTTGTTCCCGAGAAAAAGTTGCAAAACTTATTGCGCAACTTTTTGCCCCCATACTGAGTGTGCATTAGGAAAGTTGCAAGAAAGTTGAAGAACTTTAACTTTTCTTGCAACATTTTGTAGCCAGAAAAAGCGTGTCAGGAGGGCAAAAAAAGGAAAAGTACCCATAGGAGTACTGCTATAATCTCCGCCAGAGGGTTTTGGGGGTCACATGACTCTAGAAGATTGTGTATAGGTGGAGTGTGCGGAGCCTGGCAAGCCCTCTAACCGCTCTACCATGGTATGCAGCCAAAGGGTTTTTCCGAAAAAAAAACAACGAGACCAAGTATGAGACATCCTGTCAACTATGAGACTAGGTCTCCAGGTTCACGCGCCGGCTAGAGTTCCTTTCGGGGCGTGTGGAGGCACACCAGGTTCACTCGAGAGAGGTTGAAGAGATACATGGAACGGGATTTGAGAACGCGGCTTCAGCGTGTCCATCGGTGGCCACACCCCGAAGGTATATATCCGACAGGTCTTCTGACGTCACAATCTACCAGACATCGGAAGTTATTATTTTTCGGGCGGGTGTAGTTTCCAGACTGCTGGGTGCACGACACCGGCCGCAACCCACCCCGCTCTTCGTCGGCATCGTAAGGGAGACGCACTGCAGTAGGGTGCTTTGCTTGGTTGTCGCGAGTGGCGAGGCGACAGCGCACAGACTCCCCACGTCAGCCGCTTGCCGAATGAGTGAATGGCCTGGTCGTTATTAACAAACCAGGCTGTGATTGGTCGAGTCACGGTAGATCTCCGAGGCGCGACTTTCTGCCCTCGCTAGTGCGCGACGTCCGCCCCGAGAGCGCGCGGCAGAGCGGGAGGGCCCTCGCAACTGCGTTATCGGCAGATGCAAGGCTCGCCAAGAGCCAGGTCTAGGGGCGGATAACCCGCAAAAAAAAAACTCTATAGCAACGACAGAGGCAGGATTGGCAATGTTGCAATCTCGTGAGCCTTCAGTCCGCAGGAAATCCGTCTACAGGTCTATTTCACAAACCATTTCCTCTGAGACAAAAAATGTTCTCGTGATTTTCAAAAATACTATTTTCAAAAATAATTATCGCAATCGGACGGATGTTTGAAAAACATGTACTGTACTTCGAAGCGAAAGAAAACTGAAATTGTGAGCCGTTCGGCGAATGAAACAAAGGTTGTTATTGCATTTGTCCAACACGAACGGGGTGAGGGAGCTGTCTCACTATCCAAAACTAGCAGGGGGAGAGGGCTGTTACACGCGATGCCACGGGTGAAAAATCGCCACAGGGGGCAATGGTATAAGAAGAATCGTCTAGTACCGTGTCGTTTAGGTTTGAGCGCCAACAAAACATGTTCTGGGATCACCAACATTTGCACTGCAGGAAGGGTTTCACTGCCTCAAGTGTAGCCTGTCCAAGACTCAACAGTGCACCAAGCTGCTCACACCGCTTTTTATGGCAGCACAATGTTGCAAAAAAAGCTGCATTTCTGCAATTTTTCTTGCAGCTTTCCTAATGTACGCTCAGTATGGGAGCTAAAAGTTGCACGAAAAGTTCTGCAACTTTTTTTCCGGAGCAAAAAGCTGCAATCTCGCCGAAAGGTTTTGCAGAAAAGCTGCACGGCGGAAACTATGCCGGTTCACGTCCAGCTGCTACCCCTACCACACACGTAGACCCTCGCCAGCTTCGATTGTGGGAAGGGTGTGATCACCGATATCTCGACGAATACTTAACGAGTTGCCTCATGAACGGTATCTGGGAAGAGCTGATGCCATGGGCTGTTGGGCAATGCCAAGGTTTGGGGCCGTGAGGTGCCGAATGCGCCGGGAAAAAAGGTTTGTGCTGTGCACAACCGTCAGCGAGCGTTTAGTTCAAGCTCGATGTTTTTGACCGCCACGGGTTTGGTCATCCACCGATAACTTTCCGAAGGAGGAAGCAACAGCAATAGCAAGGCCGCTCGGTGGGAGGTAGCTCTCTGCTCCATCTTTCATGCCCAAGGTTTGGTGCCGTGGGGTATCGTGCGCATCGGGAAAAGCGTTTTGATCGACCCCAAAGCACCCACGTCAGAGAGCAGCTGGTTCAAGTTCGCAGAGATAATGTGCGCATGGTTTGGTTTTCCAGCGATCACTGACAAGACTCCACCACATCCCGTTCGAACGTGGGTATATCTCGAATGGGTAGTCTTTCTGTGTGTGTATTTATTTTTCCTGATAAAACTTTTCGAAGGAGAAGGCAACAGCAACAGCGATGCCACCCCGAGGGAGCTAGCTCTACCCAGCATATTTCTGGTACCAGGTTAGATGCCTTGGGGTAGCGGGAGTGTGGAGAATAAAGGCTGCAACTACCCTCTCCCGCACGTTTTTTCTTTCGCGGTGCAATATGAAACGCGCGTGCCTTCTCTCTCGCCGTTGCTAAAAAAAAAAAAATCACGCCTCCGCATTCCGCCAGTCCCGTGCACAAAACTTTCTTCGTCCCATAATGAGCGTGCACAAAAAGTATTACTGACAACTTTTCTTGCAACATTCTCCAGCCATAAAAAGCGGTGTCATCGCCCGAAATAGACAACTAAATAGTGGTCCTTGGTATGAGATCTTACTCATTACTTCAGCAGGCATCCCAAAAGTATGGGTCGTCGGCCCGTTCTGAGTGTACACGACCTTCTATGGCGACTGAAGTGCAGGTCGTAATGTTGCGTGCTCACCCCACGTGGGCTGCCGAAAAGGAAGCAAGTTTGGGGCATCTGACTTGGCATCAAACGAACAGCCGCCGATGCCGTGAACAGCAAATTCAAAAGAGGAACATACTCCCTGATTTGGCATTCGTGGAATATGGTTGATTGAACACTGATGGGGGAAGAGCTACCAGGCTCAAGGAGCCCTGCCTCCGCCCCACCTCTCTCTCTAGTCGACAACAGTCGTCCCGGAACGCAATATAATATTTGTGCCTCGACCACCAACACAGCAAAGCAAGCACGCGATGTAGAACATACGACACACGCAGCACTTTGTCCTGTTTACTCTGCATGAAAAATATGTTGGGTTTGAACTCATTTGTTTTCGGCTAACGCAGAATGTTTCGCCGAAGGCTGAAGTTCACAATGTCGCTCGGTCTGTTGGTGCGCTCGCTCAATTCCATCTCTTCTGCACACACGACTGTCTCGTCTCCCACATACCGCACCCATCCATTACGCTTTTTAATTTTCTGTTCTTGTCACGAATGATGGGCATCATTATTTCTCTCACAAAAGCCTTCATGCGGATGGAGGTGTGACTATTGAATTTGCATAATACCGCTCCATCGTCCCATCATTGTAACGAAGTGATTCGCGACATGTTTTTCTCTGAAGAAAAAAACTCACCTCCTTGAAGTTGCGGCCGAAGACATCCCCTCCTGGTTGTCGGTCATCAGGGTACGACTTCAAAGACGGAGGTTCTCTTTCAATCGTTTGCATCAACACCTGACAAAAGCGGGGTGTAAATCCGATGGGCAATGTACCAGTAAGAACAGCAACGCGACACAACGCCGGTTTTACCAAGGTGGACATGCGCTTGATAGTCTGCTTGGTCACCAAGCATGTGTGCAATAAAGTCGCAGTCAACCCCGCCCGCAAGATATGACTGTACTGTATGTAGTGGTTGCCACGCGCAATCAAGAAGGCATGTACAATCAATCCTCGCAATTGGCCCAACCACCTGTCAGGTGTGTGTGGTGTACTCACTCGCGCGCGGCAATTTTTCATCTAGACTAGCTTGATCACGCATACACACAAGCAAACACACAGGATCCTCGGTAATAGTTCGTAGCCAACCATGTGCGTACAACGAAGTCGGCGCGACTATTTTCAATCAAGTTTGCGGAATCGAGGACTGTGCAAATCTCTGTTGTTTTGCCGATTGTGTGTTAGTTCACAGTCAACCATGCGTGGTGATTATTATCAACCATTCTGCTTGTGCACACGCGGCATACAGCGGACTGCGCAAACTTGCAGATGCAAGAAATATGTCGCCGGTACCAGTACTGTAGCAGGAACACGGTTGCTGCGCGCCGGCCTGGAAAGACATTAGCCGTTCCCGTCGCGAAGGAGAGGAATGAGGCGGGGTTCCCTCGTGCGCGTGGTGAAGGGTCAGAGTTAACATCTTGATCTAAGAGACCCCGAGTCTCCCCGCTTGCACGTGAGCACCCCGTGAAAATCTCCCGTAATGTTAGTTACCTCTACAAGGACCTCCGGACCGGCGGGCGTTCGCCCCCCCCCTCCTTATGATTAGCCTCGAAACATCCGCTCTCAAGTCGATGTTGTTGATTATCAAAGGTGCTAGGTTGAGTACGCGCGAGTCACACATGCCTACCGAGGACACGAACCTCGGAAATAGTTTCCGACTGACTGAGGGGTTGCGACATGACGGAATTCGAAGGTCCTGTGCTTTCCAGCTTCTGTAGTTCCATACATTCAACCATTTTCTTACGCAACATTTGGTCGATTGCAAATTCTCTATCCACTTGGAATGCCAACTAAAACCATTGTCACCCCAACTTTCCACGGAGGTCGCATAAAGTGCCAACCCTCTAGTAAAGTGGTCGACCGTCGCGGACCTCTTCTATACTGAACTCAAATCTGAACGCTTTTCAGCAAAATAGTCGATGTAGATTCTGTCGGCACTTACTTCGTGCACACTGCACACAAACTCGGAAGAGAGCAAGAGGTTTGAGCCAGATGACCTGCCTCACAACAAACGCCGCAGGGCTAGAAAGGGTCTGCCAAAAAAAGTAGTGTGAATATTCGCGACGAGAGTGGCGGTAGTAAATGCGGGGGGGATGATGAAAGAACTCCGAAACGAACGCGCGTCCAAAGTAGTAGCAGCCACGGGTACACATTTCTTCTCTTCTTGCTACGGTATCAATCTCCAATCCGGAGAGGAGCAAAGCCTCCCCCATGACACTCGGTCACAGGGTCCCATATTGTGACCTTTAGAAGCATTTTGTGTTTTCAACCGCACTGAGACCGACGTATTTTCATTGGAAAGCCGGTTAGCGCGGTCGATGCTCAGGAAGTGGCAATCCTCTCGTACCTCCGTCCACACAGCTGCTAGTGAACCTCCACACCTTTTGCAGCGTTGTTCCACTTGCCAGGGAGGGGCTTTTTTGGCCCCCCCCCATTGGACACCCCCCGCCCCCATGTCAGGGTCAGAGAAAAAAAAAACACAGGGAGCGGGGGGTCCCCCGGGTGTGGGGGGGGGGGGGGGTACTCATAGTCGTGCATGCCGTAGTCGTTAGACCATTGACCTCGCATCCCTACAAAGCCGGGACGGAGCACGCCGGGTTCTCACCGGACCAGGCTCTCACATCACCAAGCGCGAAGCGCCGTGAGGTATTTGGCGAGTCGCATGAAGGGTGAGCTGCATCCTGCTAAGGGTGTTCGGCATCTTGTGCTTGCTTCCTTGCGTACGGATGACAGCTACGTATGACTTAATTGTATTTTCTGGTGCTTTCACTTCCAGAGACAGTTGTAAGCACTGTGTAACTGCCTCGAGGAAGCTTGACCATTTTAACACAACGAGGTGCGATCATCCCCCGTTGCGCGGAGTGAGGTTTCTCGACCCCGCACAACATGATCTACTCGACCACCATTATGGTTACCGCCAAAAAAAAAAAAACGAGGTAAAAAAAAAAAACGGTAACCTGGTTGCCGAGTTCACGAAGTGAATTGGCTTGTTTTACAACGTCGTTGCCAAGCGACGAAAACCCAAACCCCGATGGCAAACACCGGGAGGGGGGGGTACTCATAGTCGTGCATACCGTAGTCGTTAGGGCGTATATTAACGAAGAGCCGAAAATCAAAATCCAAATGGGCACAAAATCAAAATCAAAATGCGTTATCGTGGAAAACTGAAAAAAGAGGGTCGTGTATGTTAACGAGGATAGGAGACAGATGAGGCAAAAAATAAAAAAAGACCTGGCGCCAGGGGAATAGCCAGCAGCGCAGCGGTGATTTTTCTAGGGTGCGTTTTACGCTCTTCTGTTCACGTGTTAGCCGATATCTCGCCAAATACTGAACGAGTTGCCTCAAGAAGGGTATCCGGAAGGAGCTGGAAACATGGGCTGTTGGGCAATGCCAAGGTTTGGGGCCGTGAGATGCCGAGTGCGCCGGAAAAAAAAGGTTGTGTTGAAGCAAAAATGCCAACGGTTGCGAGCGGTCACTTCAAGTTCGGTGTTTGGGCCGCCACGGGTTGTGATATCCGCCGATAACTTTCAGAAGAAGGAAGCAACAGCAGCAGCAACAGCAACGCCACGCGGCAGGAGGTACGTCCCTGCTCCATCTTTCAAGCCCAAGGTCTGCTACCGTGGGTGATCGTGCGTGTAGGGAAAAAGTTTTGGTTGACACTAAAAAATCCACGTCAGAGAGCGGCTAGTTCAAGTTCGCGCCGAATGTCTGCTCACAGTTTAGTTTTTCAGCGACAACTCTTCGAAGGAGGAAGCAACAGCATTAGCAATGCCACGCGACGGGAGGTAGCTTACCCACCATCTGTCTCGTACAAGCTTAGATGCCTTGGGGTATCGTGAGTGTGGAGAAAAAAGGTTGCAACTACCCTCTCCCGCACGGAACAGCCCGAAAAAGCCGCGCAGCCCTGTTCTGATCGTCAGTCCGTTCACCGCTTGTCACGATCGGCATTTTCTCCTCGAGCACCCAACGAGCCGGCCCGTTTTGTGGCTTGCCGGCGAGCAGAGCCTTCTGGCTACAAATAACGGCCATGGCCTCGGTGGTAGGGTGCCGATAGCCCCTCTATGACCAGTGTGCAGCAGGTCGTGTCGTACACTTGCTTTGCAGCGGCCTCGCGGCAGGTGCTCCAAGCCTTCGAAGTCTTGAACTCCTTGCCTCTTTGAGATTGATTTTGATCAAAACAGTCCCCCGAGGACTTCTTCCCAGACAGAGGAACTTCCATAAAATCAAAGGGCGTCGTCAGGAGGTGGCGGATATTCGACCAATCAGATATCGACTTTGATTTTGATTTTTTCGATATTGATTTTCGGCACTTCGTTAATAACGCCCTCAGACCATTGACCTCGCATCCCTAAAAAGCCGGGACGGAGCACGCCGGGTTCTCACCGGACCAGGCTTTCACATAACCAAGCGCGAAGCGCCGTGAGATATTCGGCGAGTCGCATGAAGGGTGCGCTGCATCCTGCTAAGGATGTTCGGCATCTTGTGCTTACTTCCTTGCGTACGGATGACAGCTGCGTATGACTTAAATTTATTTTCTGGTGCTTTCACTCCAGAGACAGTTGTAAGCACTGTGCAAATGCCTCGAGGGCGCTTGACCAATTTTAACACAGCGTGGTGCGATTATCCCCCTTGCGCAGAGTCAGGGTTCTCGACCCCGCACAACAGAATCTACTCGACCACCATTCATGGTTACCGCAAAAAAAAACCCAGTAACCTGGTTGCCGAGCTCACGAACTGATCGGCTTGTTTTACACCATTGCTACCAAGCGACGAAAACCCGACCCCGATGGCAAACACCTGGGGGGGCGGCTTGGTTTACAACGTCGTTGCCAATCGACGAAAACCCAACCCCGATGGCAAACACCGGGAAACACCGAGGGGGGGGGCTTGTTTTACAACGTCGTTGCCAAGCGACGAAAACCCAACCCCGATGGCAAACACCGGGGGGGGGGGGGGAACACTCGGGGCGGGGCGGTGATAAGGTGATAAGAGGTCGAGTAGGTCTGCGAGAACGGCCGACGTATGGCGCGCGTCTATGGTCGATGCTGTCAATCATTTGGTTCGGGACCTCTCGACCAATTCATTTCGTGGGTTATGCAAACTTCGTGTTTAAAGCATTTGTCCCATACAACCAAGACGCGCGTCACAAATCAATCCTTCATTCCGTGCGGCAAAAGTCGATACATATACTATTTATTCATGGAAGTAATGTACGATAGCAACCAGGACTACAGAAAGAAAAAAAAAAATTACCCGAGAAGCGAAGAAAGCAGGAGAGATATACGAAGAATGTGGCCCCTATGGGGACGAACCGAATGAGTCAATATTTTGTGTGCTTGGACTAACTACACCTTGCACGACAATAATCCAGACTATGTGCGATATATCTGGACTACATGCATACACACAAACGAACAACAACAAAATTAAGCTCTGTACAGCCGGCGAAATATCCGAAAACAAGAGCAACACGTCAGGACTCGGGCCTGGGTGTGGTCGCTGGAGCGGCCGACGCCCAAACAACTACACCACTGTGAGAATTTCGTACGGGGAGTTAAAACACGCATCTGAAGTAACAAATTGCAGAAGATTGTAATTTCAGGGCGGGTGTACCGTAGTTTGCCGATTGATGTGCTGGGTCCACGACAGCGGCCGCAACTCCCCCTGCTTTCGTTGTGATGGACAGGAACACGCTAGACATGAAGCAGATGTCTTGTCTCGTGTCATGCGGA